AGTCAGAAGCCAGGAGGCATAAGGGATCTGTCAAAAAAGGCTTTTTTTCTCCACAGATTCCCCCTCTAGACTGCCGCTTTTTGCTGACAAAGTGTTGAGTTGGCAAAACGTGGTGGCCATTTTTATGCAAATTAGGTGCGGGATATTTAAATCCCTGCCTCATTTGCAATGTCGACCTACCTAATCTGCATCCCTCTGCCAACAGAGGGATGCAGTCTAGACATACCCAAAGAGTCTGGAGTGAGGAAAGTCAAATGGTTTATTTTTGTGTCTGATATTTGTCCCATCTGTGACTGTGATTTGTTTTGTTTTTTGTTTTTTGTTTTGCAGGGTTTTCTAATTTATTAAACATGAAGAGAGAGGGATGTTGGTAAAGGGAGAAGGAAATGGGGAGGAAAAAGAAATAGAACAGATAGTGGACTGGGCAGAATAGCCTACTCCTTAGTAAAGATCAGACAATGTGCCAGATTCTGCCACTCTTGATCACTTGGAGTCATACCTTACTCCACGTGTAGTTTAATTCATTCCAATGGTGTTAATTGTGGAACAGTGTATTTTTCAGTGTCAGGGAGGCAGAACCTGATCATTTGAACTTAAAACAGATGCAGGCACTAACTTGTTCACAGAGATACCGGGGATAGCAAAAAGTCAAAGTGGGCTCTTAAAATTAAGCAGGCACTGACTCCACTAATTGGCCCTAGTGTCTGCTGCTTGGATGCCTCAGGCAGTATTTGTTATCTGAAAGATCACAGAATTCTCCAAAAGAACAGACACTCTGTAGAGAAAAAGGAATCATTTACTTTCATGAGGGAAAAAATGTTTCTTTCTAGTTCTTCTTTTTTCTCTTGTGATTTGCTCTCTCAGGGCACATCTATGCAACAGGGCAAAAGTCAAATTAAAAAGTCATCATTTGCATAGCTGAAGTCAGAATAGCTTAATTCAGTTTTTGACGCTGGCTACACAGCAGGAAGTCAAAAGAAGAACACTCTTCCTTCAACTTCCTTTATTCCTCGTGAAATGAGGGTTATAGGAATTGGAGTAAAAAGTCTTCCAGCTTGACATTATTTTGAAATATCTGCTTGCTGTGTAGATGCGCATTTTGTTATTTTGAAATAATGTCTGTTATTTCAAAATAATGATGCTGTGCAGACGTAGCCTCAGGGATTAGTGGACAGACTTAATTCTGATTCAGAACATACTGTTATTGGAGGGAAGTCATGAAAGTAAGGACAGACATTCTATCTATGTTCAGGTCAAGTTGAAAATCATATGAAATGACAGGACACCATAAAATTATCAGAAAAAGGGTAAATTATGCTAACTAAATCCAGAAGTATGAAAACAATTTATAATACAGTGGTTATCCACACAGTCATCCAAGTGAACAAGACCATCTGTAAAGAAGTGGCCAAAAAAGTGTTAGTATCTGGCAAATATAATAGAGAGGTGTTATCTGGACTGGGCGTATCGATAGCAAAGAAAAATATAAATTTGTTCTAATCACATCAAGCAATAAAAATTTATTTTAATTGGTTAAAATAGTCTGATTCATTTTAAATGATATTTAGCAATAATTGCTTACTATAGCTTCATGAGAGATGGCTAGACTAATTTCTTACATGAATTGTGAATTCACAGTTGAGATATTTACAATATACAGCTGAAACATTTCATTGAACTATTAAAATGATATTATAGTTTTGTACAGTAAACATGATTTCTTCCATATAATAGGTAAACAAAAGACAATTATAATCTACCTGTGTATTTCTGTGTACACAAGAGGCATGTATAAACCATTCAGACCTAGAATTAACCATTCACACTTATAGCTACTAATCATTGCTAGCCACAATTGATTCACACCTAAAACTGAATAAAGTCTTGTATACTTCTGTATGCTTATAGACATAACATTGTTTTATATTTTAATGTTGAGGCTTTAAAATCATGATATTTGATAGCATGGAATAAGAGACATCAAATCAGCTTTTATGCCATTGTTAAGGAACCCATATAAGATGGGATTCAGGCAACAGGACATCATACCCAGTAAGTGACATATGCAGTATACTAATTTAAAATGCCTATTAGAAATCAGATTGGCATTAAAATCAGTAACAACGTGAAAAAGATGAAGAGGCATCCAACTGACAGCAAAAACTAAAATCAGCAGTGTCAGTCTGCAGAAAGCCCTCCGAGATCTTGTCTTAACTCGAGTCATGGATCGGGATACTGTGATCATGTCTTGCATCTCTGAATTTTCTTCTGGTTTCATCTCAAAGCAGATTGGCACCCCTGGAATGAACTTACTTGATGAAGAGAGCTGGCTTTTCTCTGTACTTGAGGTTTCTGGGAGTTTTCCAGAATTATTCTGATGATTCCGTACAATAGCTGGCATCACACTTGCAGTCTTTTTACTATACCTTTTTCTGTGTTGTCTGACACATGTACAGCTCCATCTAGAACTGCTGGAGAGTTGCACCTGAGACCTGCAACTCTTGGGTGGATGAATTGTCAGGTTTATCATCTCATTTTCTTCAAATTTGCTTTCCTTGTTTGACAATCTGGAATTTACGCTCCTGCAGACGCTGGTATGACTTATAGTTAAACAAACCAAAGGCAATATATACTGCATGAGTAATAAAGAAATCGTAAAGGCAATTCTATATGAATCAGATGGCCATGATTCGATGCAAAAATGTCTGCTGTTCAGTGCCTCTAAATTAAGGGTTTCATGGAGATCTACAATTTTGTGGAAAACTGGCAGAGGGGAGCAAATTGTACAACCAAAAGCCCAGATAGCTGCTATTAAGAAATAGCCATGTTTTGATGTTAAATTGCTAGAAAGGGGATTTTTTATCATGCGGTATCTGACAATAGCAATGGATATTAACATTAAAGTTGAAACCAGAACTGACACGCATTGGAGAAAGGGCATAACATGGCACATGATTGCTCCAAACATCCACTGATCAAGCAGGACAGATGTTAATGTAAAAGGCGAACAAAACAGTACAACTAAAATGTCAGAAAAGGCTAAGTTTCCAATGAGAATGTTTATTATTGTGTTCTGCTTGTGTTTCATTAGAGCCATCAATATAAGTAGATTTCCTATGAATCCAGCAAGACTTATAAATGTATACAGCCCAATCAGAAAGTACTGTAAGTCATCTACACTGCTCTTATAGTCCTCCCAGGCAGAAAAATCAGAACTCTTGATAGTAGCAGAGCTGTTCTCCTGAGTAAGCGTTGTGTTATAGTCTTTGAGTTCTAAATCCATATTACAGTCCTGCTTAGAATCAGAAAGAAGTTAATTAGCAACTTCAGAAATGATGATATTGGTGTTAATCAGAATTTAGAGAAACAGCCATTTTTTTTATTCTTTCATTGCATTTACAAGTGTAGTAATATTATACTTTGTCCTAAATCCAGCATAATTATAAACCCTCACCAAGTAAGTTCCATAGATCTTAGCATGTGTTATAGTCAGACTATGTCCCAGCCCTTGGATCCTCATATTTTGGACTTACTATTTGAAGTGTGGTGCAGAGGATGTAAGCAATTAACAATGGAAAGATTGTGGACCCTTTTATTCATGAGTGACCAGCTATTTACCTAAGTAGTCCCTCTAGAGTCAATGGGACTAGTCATTTGAGTAACTGCTCACCATTGTGAATAAGGAGTTCATAAGCTGGCTCTGTGCAATAATTACACCATCCATATAATATAATTAGGGTACCTATTTCTGTCACATGATGACAGATTGTACCAGGGGTGCTTACAAATGCATTTGTTCCAGCATTATTCCCTATTTTCATAATAGGGAATTTCACTAGTAAAGGAATATTTCAGAAAGTGTCACATTATAATGGCCACTCATAGTTCCACAGAATTCAGTTCTCACTGTGACAATTTTTGAATTGCATAGCTGTCATACTCAAGTTAATCTCCTTACTCTGGAAAATAGTATTTAACACACATTTACTAAAGGTAGAGCCAAGTCCTGCAGAGCTCACTGAGTTAGTGTTTTTGTCAGTACAGGTGAAATTGAGGTTTCTAGGTTAATGCAGGTAGTCAGATAAATCCTAGCAAATCTCCTTTTTATAATAATGGAATCAGTGAAATTCCAGCATCATTGCAACAATGCAGTTTGTTCTGTTATAAATTATTAACAACAACAGAATCATCAGAAACCTCCTCTGGATCCTTCCTTGCCTGCTCTAGCAACTAAGAGATTGAAGTCTAGTGTGTATATACTACTTGATGATGCTTGGTGTCATGAAGATCAAGGGAGTTGTGTTTACAGAGTTCTTGTACTATGACTAATGATTTCCTCAAAAGCCACTTATGGTGGCCTTACTGCTTCCTCTTGTTTCCTGTTCCATGCACATTAGGTGTACAGCCTGCTTTTTTTACAATCACGGTAATGTGCACAGTGTCATTGTAGTGTGTGCTCATAGCCTGTTACAAGACATCTTGTAAGTGTTCAAGGTCCAGCCAAGTATCCCTAGAAGGTTAGTTATTGCACAGAGCAGTAGGAATGTCCACTGATGTTTTGTGCTTTGTGGTTACAATAATGGGCTGTTGAAGACATCTGTGTGTGCACTGAAACTGTACTCATCCCAGTATCAAACTGCCTTAGAAGTCTGGAATCTCCCATTTAGACCCTTTGATAAATACAATGCAGCTCTCTTATAGAAAAAGATGGACTACAAGGAAATCTCACTCAGTTGTGCAGGAGGGGGAGAAGAGAGGGAACTTAGCTGTCTCCAAAATTGATACACTGTGGAACCAGACCCAGTATATCCTTCATTTTAGCTAACTTCTGTTGTCAGAGGAAGTATATTTAGTTTTGCCCCCAAATGTGTGCATATTTGAATTAATTATAAAAACTAATTTTGCTGCTCTCACTTGTGGGTTGATGTTCCCTTTTTTATTTCTTTTTGAGAGGTCATGAACAAAACTGATGTGGTACTCCTACTTAAGAATGAAGAAAGAGAATTGTCAGTACCAGCTGTGGGAGAGTGGTATAACAGTGGAAAGAAAGAGACATTTGGGCTGGTTTATACCTTAAAATTAGCTCAAACTAGCAATATCTCTCAGGTCTGTGAAAAATGTCATGTCTTGTGTGATGCAGGTAGGTCAACCTACACTCCACTATAGATGCAGCTAAGTCAACAGAAGAATTCTTCCCTCACCTCTTGGAGGTGGGGGAGAGGTAGTTTTATGACAGAGACTGAAAAAACACTTTTGCCACTGTACAGGTTGAACCTCTCTAGTCTAGCATCCCTAGGACTCGGTGCTGAACCAGAAAATTAGCTGAACCATGGAAGGTCAATATTGTTTAGCAGCATTACCAACAACTTCCACTGCTTACTGAGCTGTTAGAAGACATCTAGGGGTAAATTAGAGCTAAATAACAGCATAGAACACTGAGAGCCAGGACTGGTGGCTGTAAACAAACTTTATGGGACTGCAGAAAACTTGGCTGCACCCATGATAACTAGACATCCACGTAACTAATATCATGCCAGACCAGGGATATTGCTGGACCAGAGTGTGCCAGACTAGAGAGGTTCAATCTGTAGTAAGTTTTTATGCTTCAGCTTTGATACCTTAGTGCTTGTACTAAATATGTACCCAGAGCCAACATGGATGCACCAGTTCTCCATGCCTCTCCCAGAGATAGTGATTCATTACATATATTGGAACTGGTGGGTATTTTACTAAGCTTGGGCCACAAATGTTGTTTGTTGTACTGCACTGGGGCATGCTAGCCATGCAAAAATGAGGGATTGGGGATGGTTTTAGAAATGACTCAGTAAGAAGGCAGTTGCCAGGTTCTACTGGTTTCTCATCTGACTCCCAACACTTACACATGTCTTCAGCTTGAGTAGTTGAATGAAACTGAAAATGCTTTCCTACCATAATGCTGGTTTTCAGTCCACAATCACACAGTAACATGCTATTGATATCATTTGGACTTTTGTGCTTACTGAGGCTTCTCTCTTGCTGATTGGTATTAGCAGCAACTTCTACTGCTGGAATTTCTTTACCATCTCTGCTCCTATTCTTTTCAATCCCATGCATTATGAGATTTTCAATATGACATAGATTCCTGGGTGCCAGTTACTTTTAAAAATGGGACTTTGGCTCTTAAGTCACTATGGTGCTTTTAAAAATGTTTCCCTTAGTCATATTTAAAGTGAGGGCCTTATCTGATTAGTGACTGTAAAAACAGTGTCTTGTAGTTCCGTATTTTCTCAATGGTTTCCTATCATCTTTGCTCTATAGTCACCATTAAATATGTAAATATACTATGAGGTAGGAAAATGTATCATGAACATCTTAATGACGTCTTCCTGAACCAGGTTCATCATCTATGTTCAGCTGATGAATCTTAATTTTCATCTTTCCTTGAACACCTTAGTAAAATTGGTTCTCCTATGTTATGTTTTCAGGAAGATTTTGGGGGATAGGAGGTTGTTTTTCTGTAGCCATTTAAACTGATCTAAAGCCTTAAAATGGCACAAGGAACTAAACTTCTATCCACTCTCAATTGAGTTTAAGATATAAGGTCATCTAACTTTACTTTGGTTTAACATGTCTGAAGTGGATTATATTCATTATTCCACTTTAAGGCATGTGATTTTTGTAATAAAAAGAGCAAAAAATCCATAAGTCATAATTTTGGAGGATGAAAGATTTTGGTGTAAGCTTGCAAACTTGTCTCTCTCACAGTTAGTCTAGAAAAAATATATTAACTCGCCCACCTTGTCTCTCTAATATCATGGGACCAACTTTGCAAACACAATGTTAAACATGTACAGTTAAGCACCCAGAAGCTAGGAAACATAAAAATTGAATACAATAACTTTAATGCTGCCCTATTGTATATGGGTCTTATAATAATCCATAATTACTTAATCTTTGGCTAAAATAGAAAACACTGAAATACGTAATCTGATCAAAAAGTCATATAATTACAGAATATGTCATAATGCCCATACACAACAAGGTAGTGTTATAGAATTATAGAATCACAGAATACTAGAACTGGAAGGGACCTCAAGAGGTCATCGAGTCCAGTCCCCTGCCCTCATGGCAGGACCCAGTACCATCTAGATCATCCCTGATAGATGTTAAGGAAGTGCATTCACAAAAAACACAGATTCCAATTATTAGAACTAGTAAATTCAACAGTTAACTTCAGTTTAAGAACCTTTGAGCTCTGAAAAAAGTGACAGAGCCCTTTAAAAGTCCACAAAAGTGCTTTATCATATGTTAATAATGAAATATTACTTCTTGTGCTTAAAGTAACATTGCTGATAAAAAGATCATAAATATTACAAAATTGTCTGGAAAAATTTCCACAGTGGGCAAATAATCAATTCATTAAAATGGGATTATGCCTCCAAATTTAAAGCAATATGATATAATACAAGGTAATAAATACCTTGCTGATCTGAAAAGTATGCTTAACATATTAAAGTGTATGCTACTGAGCACACAGAGTAACTGTAACAAACTTGTGATAAACAACCAAACACAGGCTGAAGACCTTACAAGTTCAGTTATGTAATGCACTCTACTTTATTTGTCTAGAGAGAGGCATTTTGGATTGTGCCAACTAATAGAGTATATTGTGTTTGTCCTCCAACCAACCATCTGCAGTATACTATTAGTTACTTAGACAACATCCTAATTTCATTAAGCATAGATTTCATTGAGCATAAATTCCAAGTGATCCTCAGTAGAGTATTGCCAAGGTATCACTGGTTAAAAATAAAAGGATTTATTTTAAAGATTCACAGAGCTAGAGATGGCAAACACGTGCTCCTTCCAGGGGGGGGCATTTCTCATATTCTGTTAGCAAGTAGGAGGTAAATTAGTCATCAAAATTTAAAACATGACTGCCAGAATATGTATATTTAAGGGGCATTACATTAAGTATAATTCAACAACGTGGGAGGTATACGGTAATATTTACTTCCGTTTCAAGGCTACTGAATTACACTCTCGAAAAGTGCTTCATTCGATACTATGTGCTCTAAAATGCATTTGCTCTGTATTCCAGCAAAGCGAACGCGACTATAACTAAGGAGCAGAGATTCCCCTCTAGCAGCCTGGCTCCTGAATTGCACCTGGCTCCGTTCAGCGTGGAGCCAGACCCGCTAGGATGGCTTTGGAGCGGCCCAGGTCGGGCAGTGCCCGGCGGCGGACTGTGCGCCACAGGTGCTCTGAGCCGCCCGCGGGTGATGCAGGCGCGCGGGAAGCGCCCCCCTCGCAAGCGATTCCCCCGGGAAGCAGAGCGCGCGCGAACTTCTCGAGCGCAGCTGACGGGCCGGATCCGCCTCCCTTAGCTCGCACTGGGAACTTGCCTTGTGGTGCCGCGGGCTCGGGGCCCTCACCCAGCCCCTCCTGCAGCCGCTTTTCCTCCCGCTCCCTCACCGCGCCCCGCTCGCCAGCTGCGGGGCTGGGGCTTCGTACAGTACCTGCCGCCCGCGCCTCTGCCTTCAGCGCCCGCGG